TCCTTCCATCTTGGACGTCATACTGAGTGGTGGTACATGAGGCTCTAAGCTGGAAAAGGACCCTTCTTTGATCTCAAGAAAGATCTTTGATTTTTAAGAAAGATCTTACTTAGACCTTTCTATCTCATTTTTAACATTTGTTCAGGATCCTTCATATGTGGGCTACGCTAAAAAAAAATTAATGGCTCCATATTTTTACTAATTCATGAAATATCTTAAGAAAAACAATCCATCATTACTTATTTAAAAATATTATGTCATATGACTGGAAATTCTGTTTACCTTAGACACACTCTGATTTACAAAGATATCAATTAAATGGTTTCAGGTGGCAGTGCATATTGCAGAAAGCTAGAAGCAATTCAATAACTGAATTACTATGTACAGCAAAGGGAAAAAAAATCTTAAAATTAGTATTTTACATTAGGCAAATGCTTGCATTTAAAAATTATTAGCTTTTGGTAATGAGATATGTGAAATGATTAGAATCATAAGATTAATTCTCTTTAAAGCATTTCCATTTTTAACACTGGATCATTCACAGTATCAGTGAAGGTTTCAGTAATTATTAGCTGCCTTCTAGCAAGGCTCTACTAAAGAACTAGTCAGGATTTTCTATTATATATAATTGGTAAAGCTAAGAGAACTTTGCAGTAGACTATACTTTTACTAAAATACTTGTGGCACTACTATTCACTCTTTCATTGTTCTCTAGATTTTGGCTCTTGTGACACTAAAGAAGAAAGGGCTCCTTATGTATTCATAAGCTATAAAACCATTTCCCCCCTCTACCAAAACCGTAATCTTGAATGTAAAACAAAGTGTTTTATAATTAAAAGTGATTATATTATTAAAAGAATATATGCATACACTCCCCTCCCCCAATTCAAATGAGCCACAGAAGAACTATTTTAAGATGTGGAAAGCTTGTTCATCCCTCCTTGTACTATGGAAACTTTACTAAGACAGCTGATCAGCAACTGCAGTTTTAGACAACCAAATTTTAAGGCTAAATTCAGATAGTAAGAAACATGCTGTCTGATTTTTGCTTTGACAAATTACTCTGCTACTTTCTCTGAAACTCTAATTCATCTCACAATGGGAAAAAATAAGGCAGAGTAGTAACTGGTCCCTTGGGTGCAAAAAGGGATGCAGGCTGAACTAACCTCCTTGTACCAGAAAGGTGGGGCAATACTGTCACAGTCTGTGGTGGTGGTCGCTGCAGGGCTACTTCATCTCCTTAGCTTCCTTAGTACGTAACTTTCTGCAACGCACAAAATCTTTACAAAATGGGTTTAATTATTAGAAAATACAAGATAATTCTTTATTACAGGATGTGCTGATGTTAACCAACTTTATCTGGTACCATTTCTGAGCATTCTATAAGCTGCAGCCTTCCTTATTGTCACGTGGGCTACATTTTTTTCCTAGTTCAGGCTTCGGTAGATGTCTCTGGTAATCTGCAGTAGAAGTGAACTCAGAAAACTGATTCAAAGTTATTATTTAACCCCCCCCCCCATTTGTAATATTTTCTTCTAAAACAGTGATTTCAGTGAGTTTCAGTTAAACTGCAATCCTTCTCACAGCTAATTAATGCTGGGACTCCCAGCTCTTATAGCTTTGCTATGGGTTGGGTACAAGACTAATGATCTATATTCTCCAAAATCTGTAAAACAACATGATATTTTAACTGGAATGGAGTCTATTGTAAAGTTCCATCTCTCTTATATACTGTCCCTCTATGCGTAGAACAGCCTCAGAGGGAATGAAAGTAATCGATTTTCCCCCAAGATGAGGGAATTCTCAACAGCAGGGGCTACTGTGTCAATATGTTTATCTAAGGTATCAGTAAAATATTCTGGATGTCCAGAGAAATCTATATATCATTCATGTTAAAATGGGCTATTTTCAGCAATATTTTTTCCTTTAACTCTTTCTTTAATTGTAGTACTCTTCCATGCCAATTAAGCTATATTATTAGACCATTATTATTTTCAGATTTTGGACTATTTGAATGTACTTTCCAATTTTAACCTTTTCTGCTAGTGAAAATCCTTGAGTTAATCCATTTAACCCATTTATCTTCCATCTTTCCGTCAATTACATATACAGCTGTTTACATCTAAATTTTAGGGTAAACCTCCTGAAATAAACACACACACACACTTCTTCCCACAGGCATACAGCTATCTTTATAAACATAGGCATCATCTTTCATGAGGGAATTTTGATATTCTTCCTTAGAAATATTCTTGTTTCATTGCTCTTAAGATGAAAGGTAAGTACAAAGATATATAAAAACTTTCCTGATGTGAATGAGGGAATAATGACCTCCTGGAAAATTAAAACAAACCATGTAATTTTATAGATCATACAGGGCAAAACCAGTGACTTGGTTCTTTAGTGTTCCTGTCCTTTGCCTAATGAAATGGTTAACTTATAATACATATAGGGGCAGCATAAACTGTTGTGGAAAAGGCAAATTCCAGAATGATACAGCTTCCTCCTGTAATTGCCCCAACAAATATTCTGAAATGTTAGAGATTATGGTACAAAACTGAGAATATTATTTATATATTTTATGTAATCAGTCCACAGCTATTTTAAAAGTAAATATTTATGAATGAAATAGCAGAATATAACTGAAATTAAAAGAAAAATCCAGCTAGGTGGCTTCAATTTTTTTGGTACATTTTACATAGTGTATTATATATGTTCATATGAATTTGCCGTATACTGAATTAGCCCATTGGTCCATCAAGGTGAGTACTATCTACTTAGACTGGTGGGGGCTGTAGAAGTCTTTCAAATCATCTACTATCTGATTGTTATAATTGCAAATGCCAGGGATTGAACCTGGGACCTTGTGCATGCCAAGCAGATGCTCTATCACTGAGCCAATCTATTTAAAATAAAAGCCAGGTTTGTTTAAATACAGGACAATATTAATCTTCAGCATTTAATATTTGATTTATAGAGTGAACAGGAATCTTAATTCTGAAGCTGAATGATTGTTTATAGAAAAATAAGGGTCCTCAAAAGGGGGGGTTGTAACAAGCAGCTGTTTTTCAGAAAAAAATTATATATACTTGAAAGACATCTTTTGAAAGACATCTGCCCCTTAAATATCAACCACAACTTGATCCTTAGACAACTTTAAAGGCAAGCTAAAAGCAAGATTATTGCTTCATTTTTATTATTGCCTGTTTTAATAAGCAGAGCTGTAGGTGTGAATAATTTTCAAATTGCGCCTGGACTGTATATTCTGTTGTGGGTGTGAGCTCCCCAGTTTGCTCACAGAAGGCCTTCCATTTTAGAAGACTTGTGTGTAGACTTCACATTTGAACTATCTTGTTATGTGTATGCTAAATATGCAAACTAAAGTCCCTGCCACACTGCAGGAAATACGACGGCCGAAGTGTGGCTAACTGAGCCGTACCAAACTAGAGACGCCGCGGTGGGATCCAACGGATCCCCTGAGCTGCGGCGCCGTTGCTTCCCGGCACGATCAGATGCCGGGGAGAAAGCGACGGTGGGAGGCGGAGGCTGGCGAACTGCGCATGCTCACACATGCGCAGTTCGGCTAGGAGCTGGGGATGCGCCGGTGGAAGGACGTGCCGCCGATCCCATGGCCGCACGGGCCGCGGCCTTTCCGGATGAACCACCCAGGTAGGTGGTTCTTTTTTGGTGCGGGGAAATGGGCGGGAGGGACGGATCGGTGACGGGCATGCAACGCTTCCCAGATGTTGCCGTGGGATCGCGCCCATTTGCCGCGCATCCGATCTGTCCCTCTCCCGGCCCAAATCCTCATGTGTGACCAGGGCCTTAGTTGGGTATTGCTAAGCTCTGCTTTCATTTACCATAGCACTCTTTCTCAAATTTGTTAACTATGCATTCTCTTCTGCTCTCACCTCCTCCAACTTTAAGTGAATGTGTGGAGATTATCAAGGTGCATTCAACCTGCTGTTGTATTTAGGAATCTGGTGACTGGGTTATTAATTAATAGTAGAAAATCTGTTGAGCCTTAAAAACTAACCAAAGGTGGCACAAGACACTAATCTGCTATAGCCAAGATAACAATATAACTACCACTCTGGAATAAGTAACATTAGAAGATGAATAATATCTCTCTGATGTTCTCCTAAAGCCACTCAGAGGGTACTATAATTAAAACAAGTAGGGAATAGAATTACGATTTTAATAGGGGTCTGTGGCTGGTACTATGATGGTATTATTGTCTGTGAGTGTTGGTGATCGTACTTGTTTATTATTGTATTGTTTTACTGCACTGCTGGTCAATTGGCTGTAACAATAAATTTGATTTGATTTGTAAAAAACAAGTAGCTGTTCTTCTAGATTATACTGATATGGTGAGGGCACTGACCCACTCACTTATTTAATAAGGTCACTCTCAAAAATCCATTTTGGACCAAGAAAGGTCCTTTGCCATTCCATCTGTCCAGACTGCTGGGAGGGAAAAGTGCTACCTGCCTCAGGACACTAATGTCTTCCTGAAACTGTCACTCCTCTTCAGTCTGAGAACTACTGCTGACTTGCATGGTTTATTTGTTTTGATACAAATAAGCCCAGTTCTTGGACAGTTTGTTAATTAATTTTTTTTTAAAAAAATATGTTTTTAGGAGACCCTGCAGAAGACAAACTGGAACAAAATAAAAGACTGAGAGATTCCTAAAAGAATGGGAGATTCCTAAAACAGTAAACTGGTATCATCTCTCTACGAAGGGCAGTTTGGCAAGTCTTTCTGCTGGTGATGCCAGTATCAGGTGGCTATTTCAAAATGGGGAGAATTAACAGAAGCCTTAAAATTAGGCATTTCTCATATACTGAGGAAGACACTGCAGATAGCTGGAAGTGTAAAAAGATGACTTAATTGAAAAACACAGGTAATATAATAAGCAGTTAGCCTTAACTGCTAATTTTTTTAGGAGTTCTTTGAATGATCTGTTATACAACAGCAGCTTATTCCTTTCTCAACTCACTTGTTTGATGCGGTCTGGATTGACGGTGGTCTGAGGCTGTAGAATGCTAACTGGTTCTGTCTTGGCCACATTTTGAGGCATTTCTCGAATTTTTTCAGCAATGAAGCCATGAACTGCATTTAGTGCTTCCACTGTTCCCTGGATCAGACACACCCGCTCTGTCGTACCTTCAGAAACAAAGAAAGCACATTTTTGTTGTTTTGTTTTTAAAATGCCAACTTAATCCACACACTTAGTAAACTGTTGCCCTTAGACACACCTTGTTTATAATGGCCTAACTATGAAAATGAAAAAGGGGGGGGATAAAACCTAGGAAATACAATGGCTGAATCAAGAAGTGCCTATGAACACATACAGTGGACTTTTTTGCACATACTATTGGAACAATTTTCATTGAGCCTGATATGTCTTGAGAGCCTCTAACTTATAGGGAGAGCTTCAGTGGCCAAGACCGGCTGTTGCAGAAAGAAGGATCAGAAGAGCCCATGTATGTGGGAGGCAACACTGCATTTGCTGTAGGGAGGCTGGGGGAAACCTGGAATTTCTGGAAACTCCATGGTAAAACCATATGGTTTTTGGCCATTCCTAGAGTGGACTGAATCATTTCCAGGGTTTCCCTGGAAGTCAGATAACACCTTCGTGTTTTGGTTTTTTTAATTCTTCCACTGGCCACTAGAGCTGTGGTAGGAAATGGGTGTCAGAGATGAGGTATTCCCTGCTGCCTTGCAGGAAACTAGCAACCCTAATTTTATGGTTTGAATCCTATTCACTGTTTATTAAAAATGTATTGAAAATGTATTTATTCCTATTTTGTTAATAAGCTTAGTAATATCCACCATTCCCCCCTTCCTGCAGCAGCCCCCCATCATTTCTAAGGGTCCCCTAGGAATGCTCCCTCTAAGCTGTGGAGTCCTGTGAGCAAAAATTTTACTTTGTGAGCTACTGGCATTAAAGTTGTGAGTGAGCGATTTGGCTACTGCATAAATGAGTTTGCTCTGGAGCCATCCGTCCTGAGCTAAGACAAAAACATGTGAGCCGGAGGGTAAAAAACTGTGAGCTAGCCCACACCAACTCAGCTTAGACAGAACATTGTCCCCTAGTCCCCAGGAGCAGTATTTCATGGAGGTCACTGGGCTGCAGTAAGTATGCAAAGCAAGAAAGTCTTACTCTGCTGATGCAAAATTTAGTCCAGATCTAACCCTAAATAAAGCTGAGAGATAGTGACCCATACGAGGCCACTGAGTGAGCCTCAAACATTAATAGAGATTTCAATTGGGGCTGAATCAGAAATCACACACTGACTCAGAAATGCTATTGTCAAATAGCAATTGGAGTTATTTCAAGACAATGCTGACTACATTTATTTTTTATTTTTGTCATGTTTTGGTCATGTGTGTGTGATCTGCAAAATTTCACAGCCTAGCACTTGTTGCTGAAGTTGGCCCAATGAGTGTTGATTCCTTGTCTGCCCCCCCTCCTCCATTCTATGAGAGCTTCGCAGGAGCCATGGAGGTAAGGCTGCTCAATGGATTTAGGAATCTGCATGATGCTGGTGTTTCCAGGCACTCCTTTAAATTCCTAAGTAACTCAAAGCCTTTCAATACTTTCAGAAAGTCTTGTAAATCACCTACAGGTTTAAAGAGTAATGGTAAACTATATTGTCTTTTAAAGTTCGGGGATCTCAAACTCTAATTATATTATACTTATCATAAGAGATTTATTATCTAATGCAACTTCTGCAAACAAATCTTGTCATATATACTTCATATGTAAATATAAAGTATCTTACATGCATAGACAGACCTCAGAAATGCTGTTACCCTGAGGCAGAGATCTGTTTACATACCTCTGGTAGCCCTGGTGCACTTGTACAAAGAGATATGTATGTAAACAGAGTCCGATTAAAATGAATAGGCAACCTACTCCACAAGGTGCACATTGAATATTGCATACCCAGAAAATGATCTCTCTCTCTGTTTATACAAACACAATAAAATAATATGATTCAGGAAGGGAGGGGGTGTTTGGGGACATGGAACATCAGATATGAGCATTTAACACCTACCTATGATCAACTGGGCTAAATTTTAAATACACAAAATATATAAAGAAACTTGTGATGCAATTTATCCTGTCCTTCAATTTTGCACTGGAAGTTACATGTTTAAGATGATGCACATCATTAGGAATCTCTCTCTGCCATAACACAGATCCAATGTATTAAAGTAACATTACCAGTTAGCACATCATCTCATAATTACAAATGAAGAAAATGATCATTGTCTTGCACCAGTTTATGACCAAGGTTAACTGTGCTCGAAAATAAGTGCATCAGTTCTTAATGGGCTTGTGAACAGAGAAACTCAGAACACATTTGTATCACTGTGGGAAGGAAAGTGGCTAACAAGAAACGGAAATAGGACACTTGAACACCACAAGCAGTTGTTAGTGTGACTGATCATCACTATTCTGCTAAAAACAATCATATTGCTAAAAGAAGAAAAAAACAATAAAAAACACCTCAGAACTATTGGCATGGTTTTAATAAATTGAAACAAACAAACAAGATTATAGACTACGTTGACTGTTGTTGGACAGCGGCAGTTTCCTTGGCTTTCACATATGTGAAAATGGTAATAGCAAGTTTCAGCCTAATCTCCACTCCATAAAATGTAACATGACTCCATGAAAATGACAGGAAGAAATGGCAGTAATTCTCTTAACTGTACAAGGAAAATAATATTAAGGTCAGCTCTTTTTCTTTACAATAAACTATGGAAATAGAAGAAACAAGAAGCAGAACCCGCAATACTCGTGGGGGGGGAGTATGCCCCACAGCCCCTGGCCTGCGAAGCAGGAGGAGGTCCTCACTGAGGAGGAGGAGGCGGCGGCCACAGGTGAGCCCAGCAGCAATGGCGGCAAGCCGTGTGTGGCTCCCAGCCGCCCGCTGCGGCTTCTCCCCCCCCACAGCAACAGCGGTGAGCCCTGCTCGGATCCCAACTGCCCGCCCGCCAAGGCTCCCCCGGCTCCCTCGCAGCTGCCAGCAGCAAGCTCCGTCACAGTTCCAAACAGCAAGTTCATTCTCCATGCATGCAGATTTTTTTGGGATTTAAGCATCCCCATATATTTTTTAAACATGTCAGATTTTTCTGCACACCTAAGTAATGCCTCAAGTGTGCAGGAATTTCTGTTGAGCCTCCATGTGCCCCCAATTTGCGGAAATAAGTATCCGCACACACTGGGGATACTTGGCTATTAGTATATAGATAGCTCCTTAAAAATTATTTGAATTAATAAACATGCATCAAAGCTGCCATTTATTAATATGAATCAGGTAGTAAGCTAAAGGCATCAAACAGAACACAAAATCCAATGTTTTCCTTAAAAGTCTGCAATTTCAGGATACAGTGGAGATTAATGGTATGAAGTAGTACTCCACACAGTGATTTATCAAGAAGCCAAGAACACGATCCATGTAATATCTTCATTAGGACCAATCCAAGGACACATAAGGGGGTGCAAGCTTTCAAATTCCCCAGAACTCTTTATCAGACCAGATGCTACAAAATAAAAAGAGGGGAACCCCCCCACACACATTTTAAAGACTTTTTAGGTCATGGTGTTAAAATGACCTCATCCCAAACCTCAGATTGTGGCAGAGACAGAATTAAAATTCAGTTGTGCTACAAATATTGTCTCTTACAGGTAAAAAGGTCAAGGTAAAGGTTCCCTTGCTCGAAAGCCAGTCGAATCCGACTCTAGGGTTGCGGTGCTCATCTCCGTTTCAAAGCCGAAGAGCCAGCGCTGTCTGAAGACGTTTCTGTGGTCATGTGGCCAGCATGACTAAACACCAAGGCCCACGGAACACTGTTACCTTCCCACTGAAGTGGTACCTATTTATCTACTTGCAATTTCTTGCTTTCAAACTGCTAGGTTGGCAGGACTCTTAAAAGTGGGAAATATCTAATTTAAAGTTTACAGAGACGTTTTTGTATAGATTCAAATACATTTTTCATTATTATTTTCTTTAATTTTTACCTTTGAAACACTCAAACTATAACCTGTGTAGCACTTTAAGAGACCAACAAGATGTTTTGCATAGAGCCATAAGCTTTGAGTCTGGAAAGCTTATACCCCCAAAATCTTGTTGGTCTCTAAAGTGCTATTGGATTTATATCTAGCTGTGCAGACCAACACAGCTGCCTTCTGAAACTATAATCTGTGTGAGAGTGCTGAATTGTGAAATCGGGTACTTATTTACTATTTACTTGCCATTTATTTAAGATAAAACAAACATTTTCAAAAGTAAGTTCATAACAGCCTTCTTCATTGAACAAATGAATATTAAAACTTATCCCAGTATATTAAGACATTTAAGTGTACATGTAACAAGAACTTCTCTATGCTATTCAAGAGAAAGCCATATTCTTCTAGAAAAGCCTGAAATTCAAATCTAATTGTTCCATGGATACATTTCCCTTGTACTTCTTACTCTCTCTTTGCTACCATTACCTTTTCCAAGCTCTCTTCTTTTACAGACCTACTGTGGTTTCTGTGTAAAGTGATCTACATCTAAGCAAGTACACCAGGGAGTCTTTAGGCTAAAGTATTAATTGTCTATTGTATGATAGGAAGTGATGTGGGTTGATCAATGAAGCTAATGCAAGTGTTCTTTTCTCAGTCAACACACAACACATTTATACAAAAAACACAGATCAGCTTACACAGAAGATCTTGGACCTGACACAAAGAGCACTTAAAGGGATGAACACTGTCAGAATAATGGAAAGGAAAGGATTCAGAAGCCAAAGAAAAATTTCATTAAGCTGCAAGTATTCTGTGTAATGTTTAGAAGTTACTGATTAACATACCACACAGCATCACAAAATATGCATAATTCCAAGCTTTAGTAAGTAGTGCTACTTCTTTGACTAAAAATGACAGAAGGTGGTCAATTTTAACTCTCACTAAATAAAGACTGAGTAAATAAAATGCGTGTCACCTGGTGCCTATGCATCTATGCACATGGCGGAGAAAAGGCTGGCAGCTATTTCAGTATCCAAAAACTACCACTGCCCAGGTAAATGTCTGAACTGAGCTGAGGAGGAGATGTTGCAAAGTGGAGGTGTTCAAAAATTTATCCTATGTCTCTCTACCTGTATCTCTC